GGGGGGAATTACTGGTAACATCCCCTGTGTAACCAGCCATGGGGGGTTATTTAATAAAAGCATGCATTCAAAGTATAGCCAACCATGGGGGTCTTTAAATAGTTTATTGTCTGAATAGCTGGTGTCATTCTCGAGTAGGTTACTCCTAGCTATAATATTGTTTCGTGTTTTCACACTATCAGGCTGAGTCTGTGAGGTATAATATGACTGGCTGGAAGAGTTGCTAAAGTGGAATGAGTAAGTTGATGGAATGGCAGTATGCAGTGTATTAAAACTCTATTTATGTTCTTGCAGGTATCTGTCTGGAAGTACAAGGCCCCAGGAAGCTGCAGGTTAGTGTCAGAAGTTACGGATTCTTCTTCCAGCTGTGAGGAAGTAGTGCAGCTAAAACTTCGACTTTTTTGTTGCCTTACATTCAAACCTGAATTGGGCAGACAGCTTCAGACGTTGTATAGAATTAATACAGGTGTCTTGCTGTGGCCAACACCATCCTTGCCTTGCAACACACACGTTATAGCCTGTACAGCAAGTGTTATCATTATGTTTGGATATGTCCATATTAATTGCGATTCTGCATATCTCTATCTTTCTTTGAAGGTAATGAAGATCTCATTGTCCCAAAAAAGAAAACATGGTTAGTATTGATCTGATAATTTTCTAGTGATCTTCCCATCTTTGCTGCAGCATGACTGTACTCATATTGCATATCAAGCTCAAAATGTATTCCACAGCACTCTACAATCGATATCCAAAAATGGTAACACGTTATCACTTATCCAATATAAGGGCTCTCACTTTTTTGTGTTCTGCCCACCCCCCCTCCCCCCATTTGTGTTCTGCCCTCCCCCCCTCCCCCCATTTGTTTTCTGTCACATAGGATTTTGTTCTCTTCCAATTAATATAGTGGGAGGGGAGGTGGATGGCCTATGTCAGTAGGAAAATCAGTGGCGAAGTTAATTTTCTTGTATTTAAACTCCATCCTTTTCAGAATAGACTATAACCAGATATGGAACATAATTGTGCTTCTGCAGAAACTATAGAATTGACATGTACTAAAAACTAGGGCTTAAAATTTCCACTGGCAAGTGCACCATTTAGCTCTGACCAGTAGAAACTTCTCCCTTCATTCATATGTTTGTACATAAGTCTCCCACTGAATGTTTAGTTGCTGGTTGCTCACCATGTGCAAAATAAAGCCTGGTAAAAGTTTTGAAGGGCTTTGCTCCGTATTATATTGTCATGCCCCTATAGAGGTTCATCTTGGAAACCACCTCAACGGGAGTATACTATGAATTGACACACAGCCCTAAGATATGTACCGCATAGTAATGTGTTTTTGTGTTTTTTTATTTTAGGGACAAAACTGCAGTCTTGCAGGCTCTGGCATACACCGTGAATCATGTAAGCTTCTTCATTATGCATTCACATTCATGCACTAATGCAATAACTATTAAAGTGGAGGTTAAATTAACTTCTGCTTTTCTTTCAGGATCCAACAGCACCTCAATACATGTTTCAGGATGACCCCTTCCTTATCCCCAAAACCTCTTCAGAGTTTGTAAGTACTTTGGCGTCATAGTGATACCCTCCTCATATAACTCCAAGCAAATGTAATGCCTTTGGGACCTTAGAGAAAATAAATACATAATTGTATTAATGGTTTACTTTCCTACAGCTTGAATCTGTGTTAAAGGAACACTATAGGGTCAGGAGTTCAAACGTGTATTCCTGACACTATCATGCAGGCGTGCTGGCTCTGCCCTTGCTCATCATCAGAACTGAATCTCAGCCAATCCAATGCTTTTCCATAAGAAAGTATTGGGAGGCTCATGTGCACACACTGCAAAAATTCTGCACCAATCAACATTGCCTCAGAGACCATGAATCTCTATGGGGAACATTCAGAGGGTGGAGATGCTGAACATCAGTGCTGCACGCTATGCAGCACTGACCCAGGAATCACTGGTGGCTGTCTGAGTGACTGCCACTAGAGGTGTCCCTAGGCAGTTTTTTTCCTGGATGACTAATAAGGATGCCTAAGGCGAAGTTATACTTCCAGTAACTAAGCGAGTATATTCCATGTGTGCAGCTTCTGTACTGAAACGGTAAAGATACACTCTCCAGGCACCATGACTAGCTTAACTCATTCCCTTCTTAATGTTTATCTGCATACTTCTGAATAGTTTGCTTGAGCTCCTTTGTCCTGGAGTCGGTCTCAATATACAAATAACTTTTATTTTATTTTTTTTAAATCTCCTCATTCTTTGCAGCGTATATATTCACTGTCTAAGGAGTCTGGAAGAAATGCAGCTAAATACATTTTCAAGAACTACCCAAACCTCTTCCTAAAAGACATCGCTGAGCCACACATTCCAGTACGTGATTTATTTTATATATACTTTTTTATTTTTTTTTTAAATCTATTTTACACACATCTACAGTTTCTCATCTAAAATACCTGCAAATTATTATTATTTTTTTTTATTTTTTTATTATTAGTGTTTAATGCCTGAGAGCCTGCAGCCACAGATTGAAGAAGTAAGTGAAGAAGCCCTCAGTGAGCGTATTCTGCTGAGGAGAGTGAAGGACTCTGTGGACCTGTTTGACCAGCTTCTCCAAGGAGGTGTGTCTGCATGCCGCTTCAGGGGGGTGGAGCATGTGAACTATAGTGCCTGTCTTCTAACTGGAAATATTTATATTGAAATATCTTCACTGTATTACCCAGAGGGAAAGTGGCATACATCCAAATTCATGAGATTACTCTGTACAGCAATGCTTTATGCAGTGTGGCTTGCCATGCTCCTACCACTCCCATATAGATGGTTACGAAGCTACTCTAGTCATTGCCATCTGGAAGCACGTAGTCTGTGCCTACTACACTGCTAATCCAGGCAATTTTTTTTGTAGGAACTACACCATCTATAGAAACTACAAACAAACTCCTTGACCTCCTGTGCTTCTATGGGGACAGAGAGCCTGATCAAGTGGAGCAGAGCCAGTCAGATGAATCTGTAAGTTGGCAGAATAGTATCTGTTAAAGTTGCTCCGGGGGGCTTCATTAAATCTGTTCCTTGTTATTGACAAATGGCTTTACAAAGGGAATCCTAAGCATTTAGGTTGTAAACTTGTTGAAGCAGAGCCCTTGTAAAACTCTTGTTACTAATATTTCTAACTGTCTCACTTGCTGTTTTATCCCCATATAAAAAAAAAACTGTAGAGCACTGCAGAATGTCAGTGCTATATAGGTGCCGATATCTACATCTTAAAATGCTATTGAATGTTTATAATCTTGTAACACACCGATGTGAGCCTTGTCCCATGTTTAAATATGGAGTACTACCCTCTACTTCCTCATATGTGCTTCTCTTAGCCCTGATAAGGCAATGATGATTGGCGCAGGGGTACAGACCTCAGCTGGATCATGGGAGCTGAGTGTGAGTGTGTCTGGGGACCCTGCATGTGGCAGGTGACCATAGAGCACTCACATGAGAACTGAGCCAAAATCTGAGCCTCAAGCGCATGCATTGGACTCTGTTTACCTCCTTTTTATGCAATGCATATCCTTTGTTCAACTAAACATTCATTGTATTCATTCTGTGTTTTATCAGCCTTACTGTAGGCTGCTGAATGGCGTCTCTTGTTAATTCTCTCCCTTTTTCTATTCCCAATGTCTATACTCTCAGGAAAATGGCATAGAGCTAAAAAAGAGACCAGGCCCATTCCGGAAAAATGAAGTTCTTCCATCATGGAGGTAACTATGAGAAGACTTGCATTATCTACTTGGCTCTGCTAGTCCTAGCTAGGTTTTGAAGCAGGATCATTTTTTAAATGTAAAAAGGAAAATGGCACTGTAACCCATCCTCCACATTAAGTATTTCATAAAGATAAAATCTCTATAGAATACTCATACTGACCGTGTTGGAATCTTACTGAAAGCAAAGGTTCCTGAGATAAAGCATTTTTCCTATGCCTGGCACTTCCAGAAACTGGATGGATTAACAATTATCTAGAAGTGTCAGTCTCCCAGAGATATTGGCTGTACCTCTGGAGGAGCCCCCTGTAGTCTTGGCCACAGTTTTTTTTTAAACTAAACACACATTCTACGCTAGTATAAGTGGACACAGGAACACTGTATATATTGTAGTAATCACTATATGGTCATTAAAAACAAATCTCCTGCAAGACCAGTCTTGCATTCACAATGACTTGGTCAGTCCTTTCTACCATGTCTGAGTGTTCAGCCTCAACAATAACCTTCCTTCTTGCTTATTGTGAAGATGGAATGTCTTGCGTTCGGGTTTGATTAACATTTTCTGAACTAGAAGACCCTGAAACTATTGTTGTTCAACAACTGTTACATAGATTATATTGTAGATTAGCGGCAGGCTTTATTTCTTAGCCAACTATATCCACGAGTGACCTCGGCATGTGTTAGTAGGTAATTTGGTGTTAATGGCCAGCGATAGCAATACTTCATTGTTGCAGTATTCCTCTAAAACTGTTTAGTAACAGTCGTCTACAAACTGTTTATAAAAAGCCTAGTTTGCTCTATGAAAGGTCTCATTGCTTTCCAGACAGAACAACAATGCTGAGCGAATCTTCAACCTGATGTCTGAGAGAAATGCCCATACATTCTGCACCATGATCAGAGGGATGGTAAAGGTAACTACCAATACTGTACCTAGTCCACTTACCTTCTCAGACTGTGCACAACCCCCTCATTAAAAGTATCCTATTCCTTCTAGTATGGAGCTTCCAGCAAAGCCTTTGACGTGTACACAGACCTTCTCAACAACAGGATGACTGGTGAGTCTTGTGTCTGCACTCTGTAGTCATGGCCTACAGGCGCTCTAGGAAAATCTGGTTTCTGTATATTTTGCGATGATGATTTGGCGCAGGGGTACGGACCTCGGCTAGATAATGGGAGCCGAATGCAAAGCTATAGCTTTCAGGATGGCTGACGTGTGGTTGGCTGCCTGAAACTGGCCTGCATGATAGTCGCCTGTCTGAGCTAATGTAGAGTAGACCAGTTATTTCTCTGGGTGTACTCTGAGGTATCTGGCACAATGTGATGTGTTGAAAAAGGCAAATTTAACATCTTTAGGATTCATGGCTTTTGTTTATAAATAACCAAAATGGATAAATGCATTAACATTTTTTTATTTATTTTTTTCTCAAATTAATTTACTGTTTTTAATACTCTCCTTTCTCTGCAGCGGATGTTCACACGTTTAATGCATTGATCCTAGCGGCTCCAGAACTAAAAGACAAATACAATGAGAAGTTGGACCTTGTTATGGTAAAAAAAATAAAAATTCTGAAGCTAGGATTTTTCAGTTCTCTATTTTATGGAAAGGCTGTGATGATTGGCGCAGGGGTACGGACCTCAGCTGGATCATGGGAGCTGAGTGTGAGTGTATCTGGGGACCCTGCATGTGGCAGGTGACCATGGAGCACTTGCATGAGAACAGAGCCAAAATCTGAGCCACACAAAGTCCATTGTAACATGGTTGTAAAGAGGAGTCAACTAACCAAGCTGGGGGGTGAGGAGGAAGGCATTGATGTTGCACTTCAGGATTGTTGGCTCTGTATGCTCTCCAAAAACACATTATTTGCTTTTATGTGTGAGCTTCCTGGGGGTTTTAACCAAACCGTTTAGGAAACTAGGGAAAGTCCAGGTGTAGGAGTCTGAAAATTTAATATAAATGCAAAATAATAAAATTCAGAGACAGAATCCCAAAGAGTGATGTTTGCAGTTTTACAGAGCAATAAAGTGGCAAGATTATTTTGGCACTTTGCATAAATATTGGGAAATGTCACCAATGTATAACTGGTGTAGTAACAGGGGTGGTGTGTGGTTTTTAACATAAGGAAATGTAAGCACTGACTGCTCTCACATCAATAATTGAGAATTTTCATTCTATGTGGGTGGCATTTAGAACTTTAACAGAAAAGAACGAGCAGTGAATATTCGTGTTTGGTTTAAGATCCACACCCTCTCGCTTTTGGTCTGATGATGGGTTTGTTTTTGCAGGAACTGCTGAAGCATATGGTAAGTCAAAAAGTGCAGCCCAACCTGTTAACCTTCAACTGTGTCCTGAATAGCCTGCGGAAGTGTGGTTCAATGGCCAAGGGTCCAGCCCTGCAAACATTGAACGAAATGAAAGCACTTAATGTAGGTGAGTGGGTATTCTAAGAACTCTTAACTTTGAAGTATACGCATGCATTTATTGAAAATTATTTATATAGGAAAATAACGAAATATGATTTACTCCAGACATTTCCCAAGTTATGACTTCAATAATGAATATCCAGTAAAAAATCTAACAAAGCAATAGGGAAAAATGTTTGATTCTCATAACATTCATTTTTTCCTCTCCTTCTCTCTGCATATTTTTTATTAAAATATGGCTTTTAGCCTCTGGGTGTATTAGGCTTGTATTCCACAATCTTCTGCAGTATGTCTGACAGATTAGAAGAGCTGAACACACTGGACAGCTGTAGTCTATGGCCTTCAAGGTGCTCAGAACAGTATGATTTTCTTTAAATCTAGAGCACTCAAGCTATTTTCTACAGCTTTTTACACCAGGGTAGATATTGATGGTGAAGCCACAGCATGTGCTGCAAATGGTCATTGTAGGAAGCTGCCAAGATGGAATCTGAAACTCAAGTCAATGTTTTTTGGTTTTCCCCCCCCAATAGAACCAAGTCTCGCTACATTTTATCACTTGATGGGAATCTTTTATAAACCCGGTGAGTACTTGAACAGTTTATTTGCCCTGTCCTACGCAGCAAGGAATAATGTCTAACGGAAAAGTGTACATATGGTGGTGCATTACTGATATGGTGGACCTTTGCCCCCACTTGTTTCCTTTCTTCTCAACTCCCAAAAAACGCCTTCCTCCCCTCTGGTTTTCAAGCTCCATTTGATTCACTGCTGTAACTCACTTTTTGACCTTCAATGTTCTGTTATCCTACAAAGAAATAACTTCATGTTTTTACGCATTATGCCATGCTGCACCCTGACCTCAGCTTCTCCTTGATATTGCTCATTCTTCGTCTTGGGATCTAAAACCATGCTAAACTCAATCATACTTGTTATACTTTCCCTTGGCATCCCAATGTATAGTTCTTTCCATTCCCCATTTTGTATTTCATTAAATTTATTTGTATTCTAAATGCACTCCCCAATGATCGTAGTATTGCTAATCTATGTAAAGTGTGTTTGCGCTATAACAGACATTTTAAAATAACTGCACTCTTCCACAAAGCAGAGTGCGTCATCTCAGACAGGAATATGCTAATTTGATACAAATTATAAAACCTGCTCTGCACACCACTCATTATGCAGGTTACTCCAAACAAAGTGTTTTTTAGAATGGTTACAGAAAGCCTTCCTTTCCTGGTCCTGCCGTCAACTTAAACAAGGCAGATTATTGGCTTTAGTTTAAGCGTTGAGCCAAAGATCGCCCCTCAGCTCAATCCTCTTATGGCCTCATGCCCCATAGCTGGGATGTTGGGAAGGGCGGGCCATTTATGCCACTGTTGGATGCCTGTCGCTGACAGACTTCAAATATGTACAGAATTTACATTATCCAGCCCAAGCTGCCGGACACCCCAGTGATGCTGCCTACATTAGCAGAAGGTTTAACCTCTGTACGGACACACTTACCACTTCAAATCACTGAATCAGTCATGATGCTTGGAGCTTTTAATATGTGTGACTGTCTTGGCAGTCCTTTATTGCACTTAGCCGACTAAACGGTCTTATGGCATAAATCAAATTCTAGCTTGTTTAACTCAGCATTTGCTATTCATTTCACTAGCTGCGATTTCAAGAGGACAGGTTGATATCCTGGCGGAAATTCTGCATGAAGTCGAAGGGAAAAGTTTTACAGCCCAGGATCCAGATGATGGTGCGTGTATTTATATTTGGACTATTAATCCGTTTGCATTACAATAGTCATTCTCCACTTCATTTTTTTTGCATTTATTTTGACATGCAATCCTGCGACCACCATAGTGAATAATTATACAATGTCGGAGCAGGTAATAAACTGCTATAAGTAAGATCTAGACTTCTTCTCGGATTCTGACTTTGACATTAACCACTTAAGGACTATAATCTGGTCCTTAAAGACTGTTTATTTGCACGTGTGTGTGTATGTATGTATATGTATGTATATGTGTGTGTGTATGTGTGTGTGTGTATATATATATATACCCACCCACCTTAATGGCAGTGATGATTGGCGCAGGGGTACTGACCTCAGCTTGGATCATGGGAGCTGAGTGTGAGTGTGTCTGGGGACCTTGCACGTGGCAGGTGACCATGGAGCACTCACATGAGAACAGAGCCAAAATCTGAGCCACATGTGGGGTGTATTATTTAACCCTAATGCCAGGATTTCCTTCCAAATTATATAATCTGTACTTATTTCTACCTTAAAGTAATATACAATGTATTTTAGGAAGTGTACTTGGTTTGTACATCATCGTATGTGTATCCATCCTGCTCGTTCTAATTGAGCTCAAATGTGAAGTATTGGGGTTATCACTTTAATATAGGGATTGCTCCCATGCGAGGCATTCACGCTATGCATGGCATAATTTTTTTATTTTTTTTATTTTTGTTTTACAAACCTAAATACAGCATGCCACTCCATATGGTGCTACAGTTTGTGTGATTTCTTAATCCATGTGTTTTCTTATCCGTGAGAAAATGTTGATATTAAACCAACCATTTGTTGGGTGGTTTACACAGATTATTAACCTTGGAATTGAGTGGATCATTTTAAGTAACACCAACACTGGATATACAGATGTTTTCCTTTTTACAGAAGCGGCTCGCATAGCTGCCATATTGATTACCTCTACAGGCAGGTCAGCCCCTCAATGAAACCTTGCTGGTCCTGCAGGATGGCCATGTTTTCTGCAAGGTTTAAAATCTAATTTTATATTTTTTTTTACATGGAGGGGGACAAGGCACCCACGTTACTTAATTTACATGAAGTGGTCCAGGTGTCTATAGCAACTATTTAACCATAACTGGCATAAAACCTTCTTCCCTGAGGTCTTACTAGGTTCTAAACTAAAGGTACTAGATAATTGGTAATCTGGTTCTTTCTATAGTCCGTTCTATAAACCCAAAAGTAAAATCCACCCCGACACATGTTTCAGAAGACTTTCTGTTTCAGGAGTTGTTTCCTAATGGTGTTGATGGAATATGATAGCGCTAGCTAATTTCTTTGCTAAAATAGATCTTCTGTCTGTTCCCTTGCAGTATACTTCTTTTCCAGCGCAATGAGGGTGGTAAGTTATCCAACTCTTTGTATTTTTAAATGTTTATCTAAAGTTTGCAGTCCCCGGTCAACTAACAAAAAATAAAATTGCTTTACTCCATATGGTTTTGTCATGGCAAAACTAGTTTTCTGTAATGTGTAAAATATTTGTGAGACTGAGCAGGAAAATTCTTTAGAAAGTCCTGTAGGACAAGATTTCAGAATGGTTTCTGCCTTTGTTGCTGGTTTCATGATTTCAGTCTCTTGGGTTTTCTTTTTTTGGGTGGGGGGGAGAGGGGGTTCCACTTTTTTAATTTATTTTTTTTCACTTTTTGCAAAGCGCTGGTCTTACTGTTACTATGCATATCCTGCGTGTGGTTTAAAAAAAATAAAAAATACTTTTTATATAAACTTTTTCAGTGTCTGGATCTTAAGGATGTGGAGCTGGCATATAAACTCCATGGGTTTCTGGAGACTGGAGATAACTGGAAGCTGATAGGAGACCAATCTATGCAGAGCGCATACTAGTGAGTTGTTTGAATTCTATGGATTGTTTATCCATTCTCTGCACTGGAATTTTTATTCACAAATTCCTTTACCTCCGAAAGATAAGGACAGAGTGTAAGCACAACCAGGTGACATTGGTATCAGAGACCTAAATGCAGTAACGTCCAGCGTTGACACTTATGGACACAAACCTTTTAATAATATGGCTTTATTTGGAGCGGTGTTTA